CGAGTGGAACTTTGTGTCAAAATTTCAAAGCAATCGGTGAAGAACTTTCGGAGATTACAGCGTGTGTTGCTCTTACGTCCAACGGATGGTACTGTTAAAAAAAAAAATTTGTTACCTGTCACAGGTGTGGCATGTACATAGTAGGTATATAAAAACAATTTACTACGACTAGTAAACCTTTGAGGATGTTGGGAAACCACTGTTGCAAGCCACACATTTAGATCATGAACGTCACCCGGTCTTAGAGTAGGATCGAGATGCAGAGTTTCTGGATGGCAAACATCACAGCAAGGCAAACAGATTAGAGGTGAAGCGCCGCCATCATACAGAGGTAATCAGAGACCATGCCGGCACCACGCGGCCTCAGTATCAACATCCACCGCTCAATCAAGGTAGGACGTGTTCTTCTGATTTGCAAACTTTCATCATTTATCTTTGATGGGGAAGATGGGAGTGTTTTCAGAAATAGCAGGGCACAAAGTATCTTATATAAGGCCATTCCCAAGATATTTGGGATCAATGAGTACGATATCAGACCCTATAAGCAAAGAAACCTGATCGCAGTGGACCAGCGAGAAACTAGAGCTTTCACACATTACTGACATCTGTGGATACGAAGTCAAGTGCTACAAACCACTAGAAACAGATTAGCGAAATATGTAATCTGACATGTTGTAGACGTTAGTGCAGACGACATCAAGGCACAACTTCAGGCAGATGGCATTCCAATCTTTGGAGTAAAACAATTTATGCGAAGAACAAACGGAGAACTCAGTGATACAAGCACTGCTCTGCTTACCATTCAAGACTACATTCCCCCTGATAGGATTTGGTTAAACGACTTCCTTCATAAACTAGAGGTGTATGTACCACGTCCCACTCAGAGCTTTAGATGTATAGGTTTTAACCATACCTGGAAAGGCTACACCAACGACATTAAATGTGGGAAATGCTCTGGTTCCGACTACACACAAAACTGTACATCAGATATACTCACCTGCTCAAACTGTGGTGGCGATCATGACATTAAATTTAAACAATGTCCTTCATACATAGCAGTAGCAGCAAAAAAGCACATTCTCCCTACCACCAACCTGCAATACAGTAGTGCATTGAAATAACCTAACTCAGCCCATCATCAACCTCTATCTCACACTCAACCACAACCTTTACGTGTGCCTGATATGTCTGTCAACGACAATCCCGCACCCCCCCTCCCCTCCAGAGTCCAATCATCTTCCACTAAATGCACAACTGAGTCCTGATCCTGTTGAAACACTTGTCACTCACATCGAAAATGCACTAGAAAAGACGCTGGACAGACTTCAAATTAATTTCGTTACACAAGTAACACAACCCACCCCTGAGGCTGACCCAACAGACATCCCATCAACAGCTGCAGACACTGTCATCCGCCCAAACAAAGCCACCATTGCTGGACACAAATCGTTTGAACTGATGATGGAAAAACTCCTAAATAACTCCTTAGCACGCCTTACCAAAATCATTCCCCAGGCTGACTTGCCACAAACCCCAGCCACCAATACAAAGAGTAAGAAACGGCCCCTATCCACATCCAGGTATCCAACACCTACTACTTACTACTGGCATGCCATGGAAAACAGACGTATCCATAACCCAAACATCCTAAATGGCTCCCCTAACATTCATGACTTGGAACGCAAAAAGCATTAAAACATCCCTCACAGAACTTAAACAATTCCTTTACTCATCCAAACCGGACTTAGCTTTCATAACCGAATCCTGGCTCACCCCTAAACAAAATCCTATATATAAAAACTTTCCGATGCAGAGACTGGACAGACCCAACCGTATTGGGGGTGGTATTTTCCTCCTAACACGAAGTAATATGACATGTAAATCTGTAACACTTACACATTTTGTGAACGGTAAACTAGAAATTTTAGTATGCCTTATACCTTACAATGATACACACATATCCTTTCTGGGTATATACAACCCTGGTGGCACAATAAACTTAAATGAACTGGAATTCTATCTTAACCAATTACGACGCCCGATCATTGTTACAGGTGATCTCAATGCTAACCACCCCACATGGAGTAGAGGTACCCAAAATACTGCAGGCACCGATCTATATAACTACTTAAGACACGGCACCATATATATTCTTTTTTCGCCGCCCTATCTTGTAACCTACTTTCATTACAGAACCAATTATGAAGCCTCACTTGACATCTGCTTTGGCTTGGCGCACTTTCAACATGAACTACAGTTTCATACTGGACCAGATATGGGTAGTGACCACATACCCCCTCAGTATAAAATTTACTAACTTTCAGCCACCAACCCATCCCTTAACGCTCCCCAAGTGGAACATTTAGTAACTAGATAAAAAAATGGGCTGATATTGTCCGTCTCCCTGACGAGCCATATAAAAAACAAAGACGTCAACCCTCCCTACAGAACTGAGTCAATCTCCGGCGGGCCACAGCAGCAGCCACAAAAACCATATTGTCAGTAAACCTAGCATCATGGGCAAAATTTTGTGACAACCTCATACCCACCACGCCATATTCAAAAGTCTGGGCTTCATTTAAAAGCATTAAAGGTCGACCAATATTCTTTTCGTTTTCCCTGATGATCAAAGGCTTGTTCTGTCAAACACCTCAGGAGCATGCAAATGTTCTTTCTGAATGCCTCAAAGTTACCCTCTCAACACCCTTCCTTCATGCCCAAGAACTCTCCCTCAGACAAGAAAATGACCTTGCCATACCGCTGCCCATGCTCGGCGTCGACAACATGTACACCTTATGCCAGCTACAACCCGCCTACCTCTTGACAATGCAACTGGAGAGGATGGAATTCCATATGAACTAATCAAATATCTTCCATCGACTGCACATAACACTCTTCTAAACTATTACAACTTATGCTGGACTCACGGAAATATTCCCTCACATTGGCAGACCAGTATTATTCTTCCTATCTTAAACCAGGAAAAGACCCATCCCAACCTACATTATACAAGCTTATCTCCTTACTATCGGTGAAGAACTTTCGGAGATTACAGCGTGTGTTGCTCTTACGTCCAACAGATGGCGCTGTTTTTAAAAAAAGAATGTTTTTTCCAGTCACAAGTGAAGCATGTATATAGTAGGTATATAAAAACACGCGCCTATTCGAATGCAACGTTGTGTCAAAATTTCAAAGTAATCGGTAAAGAGGTTTCGAAGATTTCCTTCACATGAAAATACAGTTTAAAAAAAAAAAAAAATTTCCCATCACAGATGTGAAATATACATATTATGTATATAAAAACCTGCTCAGATGCAGGTTTTCAAAGCAATCGGTGAAGAACTTTCGGAGATTTGCGATTCTGAACAAACGAACATTTACATTTTTATTTATTTAGATTCTACTTCTTTTATTTTGGCACAGCTGCGCATAGAAGAGGAACAGTGTTGACGTGTTCTCACAGGTATGACGTTGACGAAACTTGAACCACGACGTTGATGAACCATGGAACACGACGATGATGAACCATGGAACACGACGATGATGAGCCATGGAACACGACGATGATGAACCATGGAACACGACGATGATGAACCATGGAACACGACGATGATGAGCCATGGAACACGACGATGATGAACCATGGAACACGACGATGATGAACCATGGAACACAACATGAAACATGACGTTGATGAACCATGAAACACGACGTTGATGAACCATGGAACACGACGATGACTAACCATGGAACACAACATGAAACATGACGTTGATGAACCATGAAACACGACGTTGATGAATTATGAAACACGACGATGATGAACCATGAAACACGACGATGATGAACCATGGAACACAACATGAAACACGACGTTGATGAACTATGAAACACGACATTGATGAACCATGAAACACGACGTTGATGAACTATGAAACACGACATTGATGAACCATGAAACACGACGTTGATGAACTATGAAACACGACGAAGATGAACTATGAAACACGACGATGATGAACCATGAAACACGACGATGATGAACTATGAAACACGACGATGATGAACCATGGAACACAACATGAAACATGAAACATGACGTTGATGAACTATGAAACACGACGTTGATGAACCATGAAACACGACGTTGATGAACCATGAAACACGACGTTGATGAACTATGAAACACGACGTTGATGAACCATGGAACACGACGATGATGAACCATGGAACACGACGATGATGAACCATGGAACACAACATGAAACATGAAACATGACGTTGATGAACTATGAAACACGACGTTGATGAACCATGAAACACGACGTTGATGAACCATGAAACACGACGATGATGAACCATGGAACACAATATGAAACATGAAAGATGACGTTGAGGAACCATGAAACACGACGTTGATGAACCATGAAACACGACGATGATGAACCATGAAACACGACGTTGATGAACCATGAAACACGACGTTGATGAACCATGAAACACGACGATGATGAACCATGAAACACGACGTTGATGAACCATGAAACACGACGTTGATGAACCATGGAACACGACGTTGATGAACCATGAAACACGTCGATGATGAACCATGAAACACGACGTTGATGAACCATGGAACACGACGTTGATGAACCATGAAACACGTCGATGATGAACCATGAAACACGACGTTGATGAACCATGAAACACGACGTTGATGAACCATGAAACACGACGATGATGAACCATGGAACACGACGATGATGAACCATGAAACACGACGTTGATGAACTATGAAACACGACGATGAGGAACCATGAAACACGACGATGATGAACCATGAAACACGACGGTGAAGAACCATGAAACACGACGGTGAAGAACCATGGAACACGACGTTGACGAACCATTAAACACGACGGTGAAGAACCATGAAACACAACGTTGATAAACCATGAACTCGACGTTGACGAACCATGAAACACGACGTTGACGAACCATGAAACACGACGTTGACGAGCCATGAAACACGACGTTGGCGAACCATGAAACACGACGTTGACTACATAAAACACGACGGTGAAGAACAATGAAACACGACGTTGACGAACCATGAAACACGACGTTGACGAAACATGAAACACGACGTTGACGAACCATGAAACACGACGTTGACGAACCATGAAACACAACGGTGAAGAACCATGAAACACGACGTTGATGAACCATTAAACATGACGTTGGCGAACCATAAAACACTACATTAACGAATCATAAATATGTTATATATATTTTAGCAATTTCAAGTCTTTGCTCGAGTTAGTTCATCTAATAATTCAAAAACTGCATTTGTTATTGTTTGTTTTATACAAAAGAAAGTTGGGCTCTGTACTTACTTACACAGATGAGTAACAGCTTTAAAATACTGTTGTTCATCTAATGGTTGATCTAAGTGCAAGATAAAGTATCCGCCTTGAGCCCAAGTGCCGTGGCTGTTCATGGCCATCATGTCCTCTACCCTGTTATCGGCTGGGAAAAGCAACTTCACCTCTTGCTCTTTATTCCTGAGGAAAAATAATTATTAATTTGAGGCTTTATATTATGAGGGAGAAACTTTGAAATCAAATATCGTTCCACAATGAGAGTAATTGTTTAAACTTTCAGCAGAACACAAAGGTCAAGATTTTTGACACTTTTTCTTCTTGAAATAAAATCACATGTTCATCAAAATCGATGGCGACCACTCGGTGTCAACAGTTTGTGTGGGAGCGGGTCCGGATTATACGATTACTGTGGATACACGGAAGTGTGTGCTCCTGGTATGGGGAGCCGCCAGCCCTGGGCTGGCAAAAGAAACCATCTTTCCACAACCATCGTTCAGTCTGTTTTGTTAGTAGGCTCCTGTGGGAATTTTCTAACAATTATTTAATATTGTTATTAGATAATTAAATGAACTGTATGAGCGGACTGTAATAATATTTAATGACTTATCGGATGTTTCCACTTCCACAAAATTTGGGGATTAGACTTAATAATACTAAATCTAACTTGTAAATTAAATATACATGTATAAATTCAATGGAAAAAATTATAAGTAAATAATTGTTATAAAGTAAACTAACTTCAATATCATAGATTCAGTTTAATAAGGCTTTGTTATCGAGCAGATTATTAGAAGTGCGTCTGATATTCTCCCGAAATCAGTCAATTCCTAGCCTCATCGTGGTAGCGTCGTAGACACGTGTGATTCACAGTCTGAGGGGACAAGCTCCCGTTGGTATCTCTCCACACTGTGGAAAATAGACATTGTAACTCCTGTAAGGTTAACATATCTTCAGCTAATCTTCATGAAAGGGATGATCTGTTTAAAGGAATTAAACTTACTCGGGTTATTTTTGTTGTCTTGTTGCTTAACGGCCGGTTATTCTAAAAGGTGTGATGTGGTACAAACAAGCCACTGGGTAAAAGCCTCTTTCAAGCCTGGTAAAAAGATATCCAGAGAGACATTGCAGTAGCCATACACAGACTCAGACTTGGTTACAAATGCTGCTCAGAGGAAATAAACCCAATAGTTAAAGAGTGTAATATCTATGGAACAGATGCAGAGGCGCCACTATTGCACTACTTTCTGGAATGTTAAGCAACTGAAGCCCTGTGCATTAAACTCAACATTAATCCAAACAACTGCAGCTGCATTAAATGTAAATTCCACAGCGACTTCAATGATTAGAAAAGCAGTTGAAGAATGGGATACACTAGTGAACAGTGTCCATCTATATCCGTTACCAAGATAATGATACTAAAACAAGATTAAAACCAGTGCGCAAAAACAGAAACGGAAAATAAACGGGAGAAAAGGAGGAAACCCCACCTCCACATAAAACTTTGACCCAAATACCACAGTAACAAGGTTATTGCGAATAGGGAAAAGTGCGACTGAGCCACTGCACGAGCGATCCTGTAACATTGCAATGCAAGTTGCAGGAGTGGCTCAGTCGCACAAGATATGGATGCTTGCAAAGTTGCAATTTGAATTGGTGCAAGATAATGATGATGATGACGGTTGTTGAAAAAAATACCTAGATGAATATTGCATGATGTTGCAAGTCGATGATGAGCAAGATAAATGTAGGAAAAACAATGCAAGATGGAATTGGTAAGGTGTATGAGATGTAAGAAAACAAAACAACAAGAACAACACTCTCAACTACAGCAAAAACATCAACAACAACAACTTGCAATATGTTGCAAGACGATAGTGAGCAAGATGAATGTAGCAAAAGATGATGCAAGATGAAATTGGTAAGATGTATGAGATGGAAGAAAGCAAAGTTGATACAACAACAACAGCATCAACAACAACATTAACAACATCAACATGAATGGTACAAAATGAAAATGTATATCAAAATAGAATGGACAAATATCAAAATGTATTTGGGTAAAATATCAAAAGGATCGTTCATTGAAGAAGGGTAATATGAGATGCAGGGAAATTAGATAGATAATAGAAGTGAGTGACAAAAACGGGGAAGTCAAAATAGAGTGGACAAGTATCAAAATGATCGTTCAGAGGAGAAGTGGTGTATGAGATACAGGGAAAACCAGGAAGAAGTGAAAATATATAGTCTACAAGTATCTAAAATAACAAAAGAATAAAAGGAGTCAGAGATAAAATGGAAAAAAATGCTTACCTTTGTCCACGAGCAAAAAGTAACAGTAACATGAGTGTTACTGATATTACTCCACAACCCCAGTGAGTGTGTGTTGAAAATAATGTTATCTGTTGATAGTGAAAAAATCAAGATATACAACATGAAGAAATCTGTCTGGATAGAAGAAAACATAATCTTACCTAACTGGATGCAAAGGTAAGTCTGTTTTTTTTCGATTTTATCTCTATCTCCTTTCATTCCTTTGTTAGTTTAGAAACTTGTAGACTATATATTTTCCCTTCTCCGTTGTTTTCCCTGTATCTCATACACCCCTTCTCCTCTAAACGATCATTTTGATACTTGTTCACTCGATTTTGACTTCCCTGTTTCTATCACTCAATCACTTCCATTATCTATCTAATTTCCTTGCATCTCATACTACCCTTCATCTCTGAACGATCCTTTAAATATTTTACCCCCGATACATTTTGATACTCGTCCACTCCATCTTGATATACCTTTACATTTTGTAACACTCATGTTGGTGTTGTTAATGTTGTTGTTGATGCTGTTGTATCATTTTTGCTTTCTTCCATCTCATACACCTTACCAATTTCATCTTCCATCATTTTTTTGCTACATTTATCATGCTAACTATCGTCTTGCAACATGTTGCAAGTTGTTGTTGTTGATGCTGTTGATGTTGTTGTTGTTGTTGTTGTTGATAGTGTTGTTCTTGTTTTTTCTAACATCTCATACACCTTACCAACTCCTTCTTGAATATTTTATTCCTACATTTATCTTGCTCATCGTCGACTTGCAACATCTTGCAATATTCATCTTGGTATTTTTAGCAACAAACGTCTTCATCATCATTATCTTGCAACATTCGTCTTGCACCATTTCAACTTGCAACGTTGCAACAATCAATATCAAGTACACTTTCAAGTATGTTTATTGAGACCAGAAAAAATAGAGGTGAGAGAGGGGGAGGATGAAGGCACCAAAGTGGTATGAGAAAGGGGGAAGAATGAAGTAGGGATAAAAGACCCATGTAGTTGTTTCAGTTCTTCCCAATAATATATCTTCTGAGACAATGGGAAGAAGGGGAAAAATAGATGGGGGGGGGGGACAAAGGGGGGACGGGAAAAAGTTAAAAGTTACTTTTAAAAGACTAAATTTTACAGGCTTACATAAGACATTTATATGCCTAATATTATTAATTATTGATGTGGCAATAAAACATATATCTTACAATTGGGGCTGGCGGTGGGAGCTCTGTATTGGCATAGCTGAGGAAAAAGGACTGAGACGAGGTGTGGCCCGTTGTTGACTGAGGCGCTGCAAGATGGGGTACACCGGACGCCCCACCCTCGCTGCTGACATGCTTCTTCCTACTACATGAAGAAGCGAAGACATGTTGCTTACGTACCGCTTTCTGTAAATGTAAAATGTTTTCTTTTGAGACTTGTCAAGAACTGACGCAGATCTGACTCGCTTTTTTATTTGTAGTACTTGTGTCTATTTTTTACCTTGCTCGTGTGTCTTAAATGGGTCGCGCAGACCTCTTATAGAACTTTTATTCAATAGATTTGTACACATTAAAAAATTTATTTCTTTGGATAAATAATATTATTATTATACAGCTAGATTATTTTGGATTTGGTGTAACCAATCACTGATGAACAATTTTACAATTTACAAAATAATAATGCACAAACTTTCAACATCTTGACAATATTGCATGCCCAAGTACGAGAGAAGACTGTTTAAATATATTGCATGCACATCCGGTACATTTTCCATCTTCTTCTACAGAACCGTCAGTTCTGTAGAAGATATTTTGAGACGTTTTCTCAAAATCCAAATGTCGAATACACAATGTGTCAACATTGTGAAAGAGAAAACATGCACTCCCTTGAACACAATATCGTAGAATGTCCCATATTGACTTACTTTCGTTCCTGGGCTGAGGTATGCTGATCTCTATATATACTATATGAATACTTTAACACTTGATGATATATTCGACTTATACCAAAGATTAACTATGTAATACATCTGTTATACAATGTATGTACCTATAACCTGAGCTTGTAAAAGCATCTTAATCACCTTCAGTGGTTAAGTGTGTCATATCACACTAGTGTCTATAGAAGCTATCATACCTTGGCAAAGTAGAAGAGACATACGTGTATGTATATTGTGACGATAATCTCTTTCAAGAGAGATTGAGCCTGCTCTTCCCTACTTTAAGTTACGCCAAAGACACAAGTATAAGATGCTACATTCAAGATACATCACCGGTAGCACAAAACGTTTTGACCAGGAGGCAAAACATATCCAAGATCCCCCTACTCCACACACCCTCCACGCGCCGGCTCGTCATCAAACCAGCTAACTACCCTTCACCAGCTTGCCTGCCTCTGATTGGCGACTCGCCAGCCGCGCACCTGCACACAGCACCTCAGCGCCCTCTACACGAATCGACGACTGAGTCTGACCCGCAATCCACTTCAGAATATTCCTTGTGCTCTTACCGATGACATCTCTCTCTGGCATACTCGGTCATTAGCTCGTATACGAAGGGAGGTTTCAGCCATAGCCGATATTCTCAGCACCATTGTAAATTTTGTATTTCACATTGTCTTTGCATTTCTTTATTATTTAACTGTAATTTAACTTCCCGAGATTTGTCTTTATTTTCATTTATGTTTAAAGTAAATATATTTAAGTTTCATTGTTCATATTTTGTGTTTTACGTGTTCCTCCCTCTAACTTATCACAGACAACAGACAAGCTGTCTATATTTTTGTTTAAAGTGTGACCAGGCTTTGACACCTGCCACTGGAGGACTGCCGAACATCAACACTCCAACACTTTCCCGTCACAATATACATGTGGATATGTGTAGGTATATGTGTATATATGTATATGTGTGTGTATTTGTATACAGGGTATGTGGAAACTGGTCAGAATTGCATTTCCACTTTGTAAACGCACATTAATGACGCTATGTAAAAAGACACCTCAAACACTGTTTATATATAGGACAGACGTAAATCTGTGTATTTATGTTTATAGGTTATATTACCATTATAAAAGAACTACAATCACCTTATGTGGTTGATTGTTCAATAAATTCCTGAAATATATGTTTAACAGATCTCACCCTGTCCATAAAGAACAGAAGGAAATATAAATACAAACAAATCCTAATACAAATATTTATTCATGTAAAGTACATACATACAGGGTGAGATACAAAAGTTAATGGTTTTATAGATAGAGCTAGTACATACAATGCCTAAAGCCACTATTACGCAATGCGTTTCGGGCAGGAAGAACATTAATATCTAGAACTTAATACTAATTGAGCATAAACAATAAAATGTGTTGAGAACAAATACAAATAAAGATAAAAAAAAATATAATACTAATTGAGATTAAAGTATAAATTGTGTTGAGAAAATAAAAAAAAATAAGATAAAAAAGGGGGGGGGGGAACATGGCAGAAAAAATATCAAAAATACAATTTGGACAACAAACAGCATTGTTTAAAATAGTAGACATGGGTTGACATTTCGGGGTGAGGTAGGTTACATGGAGTAAATTAGGTAATACTTAGTTTTTATCATAAACTGGTTGGGAGAGGTACAGTCTTTAACATGATTGGGAAGGTCATTCCACATTCTGGGTCCCTTGATTTGTAAAGCATTTCTAATTTGATTAAGTCGTACTCTTGGAATATCAAATAGGTATGTGTTTCTGGTGTGGTGCTCATGGGATCTGTTACAACCATCTAGGACGCTTTTAAGGTCAAGATTGACATTACAATTCAGCGTTTTTTATATATATAATACACATGAGAGGATGTGCAGTGACTTAATATCTAACATAAGTAGTGAAGTTGAGGACTAGAGCGACGCGCGGCACCGCCAGGTGGCGCTCAGGTTGAGTGCCACCTGGCGGTGCCACGCGTCGCTCCCGTCCTCAAGTTTTTTCCGGGGAATTTCCCGGATGTTATGACAGGTGTTGGAGGAAAGTGGATCGCGTCGCTCCAGTCCTCGTGGTTTTGGGGAGCTTTTCTGTGTGTTCTGGTTAAGAAAGAGTTGGGCTGTTGTAAGAAATGGAAGGACAGGTGTCTGACAGCTGACAGGTGGCGCGCGTCGCTCCCGTCCTCAAGTTTTTTGGGGGGAATTTCCCGGAAGTTATGGCGCGTGTCGGAGGTAATTGGAGCGCGTCGCTCCAGTCCTCGGGGATATGGTAAGTGGTCAGGAAAGATTGGAGTTCTTGTTGTGTGAGAGTAAGAGGAAGGAGTGAAATGAATATGTATATGTGTTTAGCGTAGACTTAATCCTGAGTGAGGTTAATATTAGTTTGATGATCGTGATTAGAGGATGAGAGGGGAACCAGCATATTGGATATGTTGTTTGGGGAGGGGTGAGGGGGGTAGGGAGAGGAGAACCCCATAGCTGAGAGGAAGGCTGGGAGGTCCATTAGCTTCACCCCTACAGGAAGTCACAAGCGTTGAGGGGTGAGAGAGCACTCTCCAGCGGAACTGGGGGCCGTTTGTCTGAAAGGTTTTCGTTGTCTTCAGAGTGGAGATGTTCGTCCCACGACGACTTCCCATACACTGTGGATTCCGGTAAGGAGGCGCGAGGTACATACGACAGACCCACACCTGCCAGCCATCAATCAATCACTCACACCCCTCATCCCCACCCGCTCCCATACCATCAACAATTGTTCCGTGCATTCTCTTTTAGTATGTGTAAGCTATATCGCAACGTGATCAACATGGTGAGAGCAATAACGAGGGAAAAGTAAACACATTATATAAAT